GGTCTAAGGCACTTCACTAAGGATTTCCTGTGTCATAATTATTCTAGGTAAATAATTAGTAGTGCTTTCTGTACACAAGATGGCGAATGGATCAACCCAGAGCTCCAGAAGGGCAATAAATCCTTTCACCATCCTATCACAGCCAACTTAGGACATGAATGCACAGAGGACAGAGGTGTAAGTCTTGTGAAAGTGAGTGCCAAGTGATATCCTATCAGTTTGGTTAGTGTGGCCAAGTTAAATTACTTCCAGTACTACCAGTACCTGAACTGGCTTGTGCCACTCTCCATTTACCTTTACAAACTTTGTGGTTTGAAGGCTGAAGACCAACAGTAAATTACGCATTTAGACTGCAAACTGCCGTGTACACCTTCCTGGTTAAAGCTCTTCCTTTGTCCTCCTCTCCACCAGCAGAAATGGCAGTACCTATTTTAAGAAGAAATGAACAGCTGAAATTTTCATCTTTTTTACTGCTCCTACCGAATCCCTCCACCACCAGCCTCCCGCAGATCATGTAACGTGGCAGCATTGCCAGGATCTGTGCAAGAGATGCCACCTTTGAACTGCAAGCAGGTGGTGCCATCAGCCCGCTCCAGCTGCACGCCTTTCACCTGCTCCACACCAAGCCATGCATTTGCACTGATTTTGAGATGATAAAAAGGACAGCCATTTGAAGATGTAGGCTGGTTGAATTACTTTCCAAAGCCTCTGAAATCTGAGTGGGTTTCAAAGCTAACATTGGTTCAGCAAGCAGAAATGGCAATTGTGTCAGCACATAATTCTAAGCAGACAGAGCTCAGATGTGAAGTCTTCCTCTGAATTCAAATCATCCTCAGCTTTTTTATCTTTATAACTTTCTTCTGTGGTTTGCATTGCAATATTCCCTACAAGTCTCAGCAGCAAGACCACTTACTGCGCAAACACCATGAGCTTGTGCACTGATACCTTTTCATCCTCAGGTTGTATATTATATTCATGCAAGAAAAGATGAGTCTAATTACTTCTGGTTGTTGTTTTTTTTCTTGTTTTTTCTTTTTTTCTTGTTTTTTCTTTTTTTCTTGTTTTTTCTTTTTTTCTTTTTTTCTTTTTTTTTGTTTCCTTCTTTTTCTTTTTTTTTCCCTTCCAATCCTTACTGGAAACAAAGCCTTCCTCACTCCCACTCTGTAAACCACTTTACTTTTTTGATATCAGTAACACATCTTACTCAAACCCTTTTTTTTTCAGCAGAAGCTTTCAAATCAGTGTTTGGAACACAGGGTCCTCAGGAGAGGCACCAGCAGCCGAGGGACCTCAGTGCACCTGAGCACCACGAACCAGGGACAGGGGTAGAATTAACGCCAGCTCCCCTTGTTTCTTGACTTTAGTTGTACTGTCCTGTCCTGTGTAACCTTCCAGACAAGGCTCCTTTCCAAATGAAATGAAAGTGGTAGACCGAAGATGCGGTCACTGCTGGCATCTGAGCTCTGTTTGCCAGTGAGGAAGAGGAAGGAGCTGGTATTTAGAGCTAGAAGTTGAGGAGCCAGTAACTCTCAGCTGACTGTAACATACTGACATCTGGCTGAAAGGCTCGGCATTTCACTTGGGCAGTGCTGAAATGCTCCTGCTGCTCTTCGAGGAGATAAACAGAGCCAGACAGGTGCCGGCTCTATAAATGGTTTGCACCCGCAGAGCACATCAGGCCTCTGACAGACACGGATCCTGCAGGCTGATGCCATTTGTTCCATTGTAGTCTGGGTGATGCGGTAATGTTTGAAGATTAAGTAGGCTTTTCAAGCAGGCTTTTAACTCTCTGAGACAGTCTTTTTCTAATAGCACATTCTTGTACATTTTGAATTAGGGAATTATTTTTGCTATTTTTAATCTGATCCCCTGCTTCAGACTCATTTTCATAGTCTAAACTGTGATCTCTTCCAGAAGGACCTTTTTCAGGAGATAATTTTGATAATTGTTTGTATTCAGGTTCCTACCAATTCGAATTCCTCAAGGGAAAATTCTGCCCAGGAAAGCTATTAGTGTTCAAAGGGTCAGCTTTGGAGGCTCTGAAGATCCACATCTCAACATTTTATCCTTTCAAGATGGAGAAGCCAAGACTTGCATAATTTTCTAACGGCAAGTCTTCCAATTTGGGGTTCTCCATTTCTTCCTTAGAAGTAATTATAAGTCTGATCAAACCTGGTCTTTTTCATCTCATTTTGTTTGCTTTCTTGCCACGGAAATTATTGCATTTTTGTAAAGAAGTTTGGAACAAAAAGTTCTGTGTTTTCATGAATAATGGACAATGTATTAAATGACTGATGGTAACTTAATTATAGTGTGCCTTTGGTCTACCATGTGGGATAAGACATTTGAACTAAAACGTGTACCATGCTACCCGTAAGGTGGCAAAGTTAGACCAAAAATATAACTCAATCTTCTCAGTCCGGTGCATCTAATGTAACGTTAGGGCACTTGTGGCAAACTAGTCACCACCACACTTCTCGAGTGAAAGAAAACCATAGGAAACACTTGGTTTTGTTCTAAAAGGAACGGGGAGCCAGCAGCCACTGCTTGTGACATTTTGGAGGAGTGCAGAAACGCTTTTGACAGAGAAGAACTGGGGATGATTTTCTTTCTTGTCATTTGATGGGTTACTTCTTACTGTCCTTATGTTCGGCCTCCCAAGGTGAGTAGGACCACTCTGCATGCTGCTCAGCTTATCTGGAGCTGTGTGCTACGCACCTGGAACAGATGGGAGATTTTTTAAAGCGTGGCATGCAGTCTGGAGGAGGTAAAGCGAAGAGGAAATCAATATCTGGGAAATTGCTGCAGGATCCTAAGATTGTGTCCTTCGTCAGCAAAGGACCAGCAGTGAAATACAGCTACCTGTCCTGTGCTTCACCCGGGATGGTCACATCTACACAGACATGACTCCAAAGTCCAGCAAAAGATACCCGTGGTGGCCTGTACTTGGCCACAGACTTGCTCTGTACCAATTGTAGGGCTAGGAAAAAAGGCAGCTATCCACTGTGGGAGGCAACAAGACAGGAAATCCTGGGGCCAGAACAGCTGCTCTGTTTATACTTTGGGAACTCCTAAGCTGTTTCTACCCAATGGAGCCTGGAGGGCTTTTAGAAAATTCTGCTGCCTCCCACAGTTGACCTGGTCACAAAGAGCTTTTTGTTGCAAGGCCTTTTTGGGTCCAGCTGTGCATGACAGAAGCCCAGTCCAGGCAGAACGGGGAAGCACCTACCACCACAGAGATTTTTACATGGCCTTCTTTGACAGCAGCTCACTTAAGATACAAATGCAGATTATAGCTCTCATAATCCAAGGTGGGCAGCAGGCAGCTATAAATGAGTCAATTATCGACTGATTCCCTTTGAACTGAGAGATATTGCCCTGTATCTTACAGCAGCTCTGTGTAAGGCAGTGGGCCAGGCAGATCGAGAATTAGCTCAGAGACAATCTGTAGGATAATATCTTGGAGCAGCATCGGCTCTCAACTGGTTTAACGGCGTGGGCTGATTCATCTGTGCAGCTGGTGTGGCACCAAGACAGTGGAAGAAAAATAAGCCATGCTGAAAAATTGGTGCACCTGGCCTCACACATGAGAGAACGTGAACAGATTGTTTCAAAAACACAGACAAAAATCCTTTTCCAGTTGCAGAAACAGGGCACAGGAGCGTGCATCAGTACAGCAGTTTTGGAAGACCCTGCTCTGTGCTATCCAAGAATACCTTTCTCCAGTGTCCAGAGTAAGGATGATGCACATCTGTCTGCCTGGTCTTACAGCAGACCCTCTCCCCCTGGGCAGGCTGATGCCACTTCTCACAGCTGTAAGGGAAGCAGCAGCTCTCACTTCTCTTCGTGGAGCTGTTTTGCTTTTGAATTATCTCGGAAGTCCTCTGGTCAGCTGCTTACTTGAGGGCTGACTCCAGCTCCTGCTTTGCTTCTTTCAACCCTTCTTGATCTCTTAGGGAAGTTGCCTGGCACTGATTTACACTGAAGGGAATGTGAGCCCTCAGAGCATGTCAAAACTAGAGGTTATGGTCTAGGTACAGAGTGGCTGTTGTTTAATCCTTTGTAGATTTGGCATGCTGAGCTGGCTCACACCTCTCTGTCCACTGGGTTACTGCTTATCAAGACCTTCCAGTCACTGCTCCACTAAGAAGCAAGCCACAGTGACAATGCCGATTGCTTTGCAAGAAGCAAAGGGGCAGTGGAGTTGGACCAACACTGACCACTTGAATCTCCTGCACATTCCATCTGCATTGCTCTTCCCTGCACTTGGCCTCTGCCAGCAGCAGCTGCGCTGAGTGCAAGGTGATGGCATCCTGCAGTAGGCAGAGATGAGTCACTCACTGCTGACACTTCCACCCAGCACCAAGGCGTGCAAGCCCCAAGATGAGAAGATCTGGGTTTCTATCAGTTCTGTGCATTGTAAAGTCAGCACTGAAAACAGGCAGAAGTCATGCTTTTCACCTCCTTTGAATGGCCCCAGCCTTCCCAGTGCCCCAGGTATGTGTCCTTTTTAAGGGGGGCTTTCACTCCTTGCTCCAGCAGTGACAGCAGCTGCCAGCATGCAGCCCTCCAGGGAAGACATCTGCCTTTTGGCAGAGCACACAAGCAGAGCAGGGCTTCCCAGCTGCCGTGAGCCCGATGTGAAGCTGCTGTGTTTGTGAGGGACTGAAGCATGAACTGCCCCGCTGGTGCTAGCAGATGTGAGTGACAAAGGAGAAGGAGGAAAACGCTCATAATCAAAGAAAAAGAAAATAGCAAAGAGAACCCCCCCCCCCCCCCCAGTAGGCAGCGTGAGGAACTATTAATGGTTAACTCTCTTTTATTGTTGGGTAGGAGGAAGAAATGCAATTGCAAAGGGAAAGATAAGTTTACTTTACAAAGCAAATTTGTCAATTACTCTGCCAGATTATCATTGTTGTTATTTGCTTTTCCCTCTCTGAATGATAAAGACATGCAAACAGCCCTAAGCCATAGTCAAACCCCTTCCCCACAACCTCCCTAACACACGCAAAAAAAGAGGATGCTAAACACAGCCTTTGAAACCCATGGGGATAATTGATGCTGTGACGCGCAGAAGCCCACAGGACTCCAGAGGAGCACAGGTATAAGAGGAGGAGCGCACCTCCCCGGCAGGCAGAGGACAGCTGGGGGCAGATCTCAGTGCGCTCCCTGCTCACTGGGGGCCTGGGGTTGGTGCAGGGGACGGCTCCGCAGCGCGCACAGACAGAGGAGAAGTCGTTCCCCTGTTGCAGACACATCGGAGCAGGAGCTGATCCAGGAAGGGCTCGTTTTGAGGGAACGGTAAGTACGGGTCTCTGCATGTGGGTTCAGCAAGATAATTCCTATTTGGAAATCAGAGGCAATTAAACTACACTGAATTGCAATCTAAGCTCGCATTGGCAATTAGCTTTGCTGGATGTAACGCCCTTTGTATCATATAGGATTCTGTTGTTTGAAGTTAGAGAAGGAAACAGTAACTGAACTATTGGATAAGGACAAAGCAGTACAGTAATAATACAGGGGAGCCTTGTAAAACTGCCAAGCAGTTACTAAACGAAGCAGAGATTCCTTCTTTTGCTACATCTGTGCAAATTCCTTTCGAAAAATGGATGCCATTCTACTCACCAATCAGCAGAGTTGTGTTTGTGCCCAAACGAAGTGTGAGCAGGAATGCAACAGCGTGTTCCAGTAACACGGAGCCAGCTGTGAGGCAGTGAGCCCCTTCAAATGAAACATGGTGCTAGAAAAGCAGAAATCCTGGTGTAAAAGTCTGAACTTCATAAACCAGCAGGCGCAATAGAAGCTCCGTTTCATCTCTGCAGTGTTATTTTTGAGACCGATCAGGTAAGATTTTGGGAGTCATAGTCATCAATCTCTCCCAACATCATTCTCACAAACGCCGCTGTGTTAACGCTGCACAGGATGGAACGGAGCTACTGTGCTTTATCTGTTGGAATGGTGCTAAAAGCTCTTCATCTTAAAGCGGAATTTATTAATCATTTTTATCCACATGCTGCCAGAGCAGAAAAGAAAGGCAAAATTCTCACCTCGGGAGAATGTGAAGGTGTCACGGCTTTGCAGAGCTGTCATCTGCCCATGTGCAGGGTGATGCTTAAATCCTCTTTTCTGAAACAGCAGGCACTTGTGAGGAGAGGCTGAAAGGCTTTAGGCTCCTTCCCAGAGGAGGCAGACATACCCAAAAAAGCTGAAGGGATGAGAGGCTGATGGCAGCAAGGGGAGAAAAGGCAAAGCAAGATGGGAAGAAAGGTGAAACAAAGCAAAATAATCACATGAAAAGCAGAGAAAGAAAAAAGAATCTCAAAGGGACAAAAAGTGGCTCTGGAGGAAAATCCAGCACAGGCAATCAAGGCTGCATCCTAGGAAGAAAAAAAGGGAAGTGGACAACATGGTGTGAGACTTTCTTCTCATTTACATCGGTATTTCACTTCTCAGTTCACATAGTGGCTTTTCTTGGAACTGAATACATCTCCTGGTTGGCATGTCCTTTAGATGCTGGTGCCATGGTCTCCTGGTACCCTCCAAAACATATAGAGTAATCAGTAATTCTGATTTGGAATTTGAGCTATTTAAGGGAGAGAGGCACGAGAGGGACATGCTTTTCCAAGCTCAAGTGAAAGATAGAAAACTAATGGAAATCCAGAGCAAGAGTCCTGTGTTTCTCAGTCACCTCTTATGCTGCTTCTGGGCATTCCTTGGCCATCCAAGGGGTGAAGCCCTCCTTTAGAGCAGGTTTGGAGGAAGGGTGCCCTCCTGCACCCAGCTCTGCTCAAATCGGGGCTGTCGGCACTACTGAACAGGGTCCAGAACGAGGAAGGGTTGCACTAAGGAACCCCAATTCGTAGTGCACCTCTGTGCCCATGGGCTGCCACTCAGCACACCCCCCTCGTCCTGTTACTCTCTCAGCAGCATGCTCCCTTGCACACACGCACAGCACACCAGTGCGTAGAGAAACTTCCCCATGCTGTCCAGTTTGCACTCAGCTGAATGTGGGCAGCTGTACCTGTGCAATGAATCAGTGCTCACTGCTGACATTTTCCATCAGAGCTGCTTCCTGCCACCATCATCCAGAAAATCCACTGCTTGGAAAGTTCACTGGGGAAATTAGAAACCCAATCAGATCCTTTCCACTTGGAAACTGCTTTTGTTGCAAGTATTGTTAAACATTTGGAAGTTTCTTTTCTTCCCCCCTAAAAACATGAGCTTTTCTCTTTTATGGAGATCAAACATCTTTCTGCCCTTTTCTTGTGTAAAATAACACAGCTGAACAAGGAAACTTCATGTTTTAAAGATCTCCATCCACATTCTGCTTTCTTAAAGAATCTTCTTTGAGCTAAAGATCAATTGCTTTTGATCAAAACCGAGGAATGATGTTAACAGAAATATTCTCCCACCATCTCTTGCTTCCAGTAACAAAAGCATTGAGTTCACCTGCTGGTGCTGTGCAACCTTGGGCGATTCTTTGCTTTGAGGAGGGATGCTTTGAGGGGATGCTGGACACACAGCCAGCCTCAGGATGCGAAACACTGCAGTGTTTGTGTGCAGCACACACTGGTGGTGCAGTCCATCCTGCTTTCACCTAAGTCCTGAGAGCTGCACAGGTGTCTCTTATTGGTGGAGAGGGGGCTCCTCTGGGCATAGCTGGGCAGGAGGGGTCCCAGGGAGCACGGTGGAGGTTGTTGTCCAGTGATGCGGGCTGGTGGGGAGGCTGCTCTGGGCAACTTGTGCCACTGAGTCACTGCTCCATGTTCCAGGTGACTCCAAAGGGTGGAAGATGCTGGATAAGGCCACCCTGTTCCTGTTCCTGCATTTAGTTGCGAGCTCCATCTCCTTTCCTCTCTACCCAGCTCTCAGGTAAGATGTTGAATGTTTCACCCATACTGTAACTCTCCGCCTCACCTCTGACCTTGTGCAAAATAAGCACATGTCAAATGAAGCTTGCCAGACCTTCTGAAAGCCACTGCTGAAAACGTCTTTACTCTGGCTTAATTTTTTGGGAATGCTGCTAGTTTATGGGTAGTTTCCCAAGAACTGACACAATGTCAGACACTTAATGTGGAATATTTCAGCCCAGCAATTGGTTTTGGCATTGAATGCTCTGTCCTATAAAGGGAAATCTAGCAATCTCCAGAGCAGCCAGCGCCACCAGCTCCATCACCGACTGAAATTTGTGCCTGAAAGCTACCTGCACTGAAATGAGAACTGCAGGTTCAGTATGGGAACTCAACAGCTGCTAATTAATATTTCAAGTATTTCCTTACCAACTGTGAAAAGTTAATATTACTTCCTACCATTACAAATTGATGGACGTACAAAACTGGGCATAGGGCTCTGTAATGTAGATTTGTAATTGTCTCATAGAAAATGCTTTAGACTTGTGCTAAAGCCGTGGCACGACAATGCCATAATTGCTGGAGTTTTGCTCGACATTGCTGGCAGCTCAGAAAATGTATTCAGGGAAGCTTTACCAATTGCCTTTTCACTGCCTCAGGGCAGTTTCTGACTGGAGAGAGCAATGTACAAAATCGATGTTACTGAAAAGGTAGGGTAAGAAAAAGGAGAAAGAAAGAAAAAGCAGAATGCAGAGTAATGCTCAAGATGACCAACCCCTGACTGGTATTTGAGCACATTTCACAGCATGCTTTGGGTTTTTCTTGAAGGTACAGCCCAGGACCTGTTACTGGCAAGTCTGTGAACTTCCATCTCCTGGACCACAGCCTGCTGCAGAGCCATAGTCCCTCAGCAGAGGAACAGGATGAGGAGGGTTTGTTAACAGACCCCACTGAGAAAAGGTTTGTACCTCACCTCTCAGCCCTGCTGCAGCACTTCTGCAGGGAGCACTGTCTTTCAGCAAGCTCTGGAAACCCACAGCATGGCTATTAGAGCTTCTCCTTTCCTCTCCTACCAAGAGACAAGGGATGGTTGGTTGTCTTAAAAACAATTCATCCTTGCAGCACTGAAGGTCATGCATATGGTTTATGCTTCCCTAACCCGTGGATTTTCTGTAGCTTGTGTCCAGGCACAGGCTGGAGAACTGCCCAAGGCTCACCCTGTGTCTGGGACAGGGGTGTCCCACAAAACCACAGTGCTGCTGTAGAGCACAGGAACTTCCCACTCCCAGCTCAGCCCTTTCCCAGTCTGGTTCTTCCTCTTCCCGTTGTTCCTTGACCTCATCTTTGCTTTGCTGGCACTTCTTAGTTGTGTACAAATATCGATCAAAAGATTTATTTTGCTTTGCTGGATGCCAACCTGTCAGGGCCAAACTCTCCCACGTCGTTTTACCCTCCACCACTAACTCAGTTCAATATTCAGTACGTTCACCTGGCACTGAGCTCAGCAGTTACATCTGGTCTGTTAAGACATGTGAAGCACCCACTCTGCAGCAGAAGGCTGACCATGGGCTCGCTGAGCACACCTCTTCCTGTCTTCCCCCCCAGGATGCAGCGCCATGCTGATGCCATATTCACTGACAACTACCGCAAATTCCTGGGGCAGATTTCTGCCCGCAAATTCTTACAGACCATCATTGGCAAGCGACTCAGGTAAGGCATGAGGGGTCTGCTGTCCTTGGGACAATGCTTTGCTGACAAATTTTTGTGCACGTAGCAGAAATAGCTGCCTTCTGCTGCGACAGAAGCAATCTTTCCTGCTGCGCTGCACCCAAAAGGACGTTCTGTATCCCCACTTCTAAGATGCCTCTAATCACAGCGATTATCAAGCGGCCCAATTAATCCTTCCCTCCAAGCCTATCAGTGTCACATCAGCTGAGAGCTCTACCGCACGAGCAACAAGCAGCAGCCTCTGCAGATTAACAGCTGCAACCATCATTCACTGGAAGGAAACACCCATTGTTATGCTGTTGTTCCAGGCCTGTTTGAACATAGAAAACTGCCATTCTATCAGCACTAGGGTAGCTTTGCTTAGATAGATAAGCCCAACTAGGCAGGTGCAAGCCAGCTCTGGGCAAATGCAGCTGTGCTCTCTCAGGGAGAACAGAACAGCCCCAGGCCCAGCAGGCTCTCTGCCATGCTGCTCAGCCAGAGCCATCTGAGCAAGGGACTGAAAGCACCTCACACAGATCCGTTTCTCATCTTCACATGACAGAAACAGCGAGAGCAGTCCAGGAGAAGGGCTGCACGAGCTCCTGACAAGGCGCCAGTCAGACAGCATCCTGATGGACAGCCGTTACCACCAGCAGATGGTACTGAGGGACTTCTTGGGAGCCATGCTGCAGCATCAAAGGTAGGCGGAAGCCACCTTGTTATCTGCTTGCTGCAGGAATGAGACAAGGCCCTTTTTGCTGTCTGGCAAACATGAAGCAGTAGTGAAGCTACTGGACCAGGTGCTATCTTTCAGATACACCCAGGGAAAGAATAAAGCTCCTACCTGTATGCACAAGCTCACTCCTGGGCAGGTGGGGTGCAGGTAAGGCACAGTTCTGGCCAGCCTGCAGCACTAGCACCTCCCTGTGCTGCCTCTCACATCTAAAGCTCGGCAGCACCTCCCCACGCTGCCTCCTCACATCCAGAGTTCAGCCAAATAGCAGTGGGGGAAAAAAAATCATCTTGATCCCAGTTAAGGCATTATTCATCCTACTCTGTTCTTTCGCAGGCCTCAGGATGTGACCAACACTCGGTTAGAGGGGTTTCCCAGCACCCTGGCTAAGTTCATGTAAATATTTTTCCCTTTTTCGTCTCCCCATGCTCTGGTGAGTACCATCCCCTGTGCAATTCTGTAAGCACAGCACCCAGCACATGGCTGGAAGGTTCTGCCTTGGCAAAGTCAGCTGCCGCTGCTGTTCACAAAGGACAGAGCATCTGTTGCAATTTCAGGGGAAAAAACTCCCAGTGAGTTTTGTTAAATATCAAAAGACCCATTAGACTGAACAGATCCCGTCAGTGCTGTGAAGACCCAGGCACATGTTTCCCCAGAATGCCAGCTGGTTTGACTGCTGCAGCGCTCACCCACAGGCACAGCCCTTACTGCAGACCCATCAGCAAACCCAGCAGAACTCCAGTGCCCACTGGTGCAGCTGGGAACAGACTCACAGCAGCCATAAGCAACCTCATAAAGCTGAGGCATTGAGTATCAAGGCCATGGCAGAAGCAAACAAAATTCTCCCAGGGAGCAGAACCTACCTTCAGATGTCCAGAACATTTCAGGTTTTCCCTCTCAGTGCACTGAATGGGAAATGAAGCCTCACAATGTTCTGTACTCCCCAGTCCTAAAATTAATCATCTGAAACTAGAAATATGCTCTAAACCTTGACAGCCCTGTGGGACTGAGTGTCCCCAGATAGGCCACTGCTGCTATCATCTCCATTCACACAAATGTGTTTTCCATTATGCAGCAATCCCATCTTATTCCTCTGTCTCAGAAATTAAGCCTGCCTACCCATAGTCAGCATATTATGAAGCAGTGTGAAGAGACCTGTGCGAATATTACGCAGAGAGGGGCTGTGGGTAGCAGGGAAAGACCAGAATGGTACAAAAGAAATGATGCCTATGGATACAGCTGGAAAGCGTGACATTTTGGCATCTTGCTTACCATGTCGGTGTTGGTGGTTCTTCCCATAAGTAAGATGAGCCAAAAAAATACTCAAAAAAGGGGGGAAAAAAATCTGCACGTGCTCACCAGTAGCTTTTTCTTAATTCTCTTTACCTCCTGTTTCTGTCCAGAATGATTCAGAGCCCGTGGATTTAACTGTACAGTAAACCATTCACAGCAATGAAGACATTCCTGGAGGTGACCAGCTGGAGACTGATGCATACGCTCCTCAAACCTGCTGAAAGGAATGCAGTTCTGATGCACTACTTCATTTACTTCAGTCTTTACTACTTAATTCCCCTCTCTAAACACTGGTTTGTGTAGTGAATCAGAAAAAAAACCCACCAAAGCTCTGTGGTTTAACCTCAGGCTGCTAGAATAACCAGTGCACTTGTAATCCTGGAGACATTAATTACTAACTAAAGTTTTCAGATCATGAAGAGCAGCAAAATTTCTGCCAAATCATCACTCTGTTTGAGGGCCCAATTAACGTACACGAGGCCACCAAAAAGCACCTTTGGGCGATTCAGGAAACTTACAGCCTCCTCTAAACAGATGCTGATGGCACAACCACCCACAGTTCGGCACAGGGTGAGGTCAGACATGAATCCACACGTTTGCCACCCATCACAAGCACTGCTGTGGGCCGTTGGCTCCTGGATAGAGCCCTGGCAGCAAAACTGAATATACAAAGCTTATTATAAGCAGTCACTGATCAGCCTCAAGGTGTTTAAACCAAAGGTACAGCTTTACTCTGCAAGAGTTAAGAGATCTCTGTGCATCAGATTGGGCTGACGCTGTTTTAATTCCATGTGCCATGCAGTGGCTCTGAACTCCACCGTGGCCATAGGGTTAAGCAGTAAATGTTTGCACTATCACTTACAAGTTATCTCTCACACAGCGACTTCCTTCCCTGTCACCTGAATTCTTCTACTGTTTGTGTAATATTTACGTCTTCTGCAATGTAAATAATGTCAGGATGGGGTCTGCACTCCCATCATTAGCAGGGAATAAAAGTTGTTCTAAATAAACCTGTTCAACAGCAGGTCAAGATGACTCTTTGTCTGTTGAGTCTTTTGACTTTTTGACTGTGGGCACACAGTGGAAGACAGCACTCAAGGAGGGCTGGCAGGAGCACAGAATACAACTCAGAGCTGTGCTCGCAAAGGACCAGTGCCAACCACTCAGGACCAGGCTGGAAATACACCTGCACACAAACACACTGGGGCCTCTTGAAGTATCCTCCTTGCACCAGAGCAATTCCTTGCTCATCTGCAGTATACATATCATCTCCTTTTCCCTGAAGTGATCACGTTCTACTATAGTAGGCTCCAGCACACGTGGAAATGAGCTCCTACTTGCACCAAACCCCTACAGATCACATTCTCTCTGTTCAGATTCCAATTCTAGCACTACAAAAGAAGTACCAGCTGCCCAGCAGGTTGGAAAGGAACAAGGGGATGTTGTACATGAGTGAAGCTGTGACAGCAGTATGTGCTCTAATGGGTCATCTGTAACCCTTACAGACACAGGGAACTGTCACGGCAAGACAGACATCCTTCTGCTTCACAGTGCAGCTGGAGAATGACCTGCAACAGAATGAATGATCTGAAGTCCCAGCTCAAAGAGTGCTTGTAATGGCCTCAGGCATGTTGGCTGGTGTGACAGAACACTCCAAGGAAAGGAATGTGCAAAAAAAAAACAAAAGACAAAAAACCCCATCCAAAACAGCAGATTCCTATAGCTGAAAATAAACAAGGTGACAAAAAAAAATTGCAAGTGTCATAAAAAAAGGCTCATTTGAACGTTCAAGTTGCTGTCAAAGTGAGGAAACAAACGCTCAAACTCTGGCAGATGAAATGTTTGAAACAAAACAAAGTGTCTGATGAATAAAAGGCCAGAAGAATAAATGCATCCTTTCCTAACAAAAAAGTAGAAAAAAACCCAATAGCAACAAGCAGAGTTTAGGAAATGCATCACAGCAGAACCACACGGTTGTCTTTTTGCATTGGTTCTCTCCTTTGAGAACGTGCCAGAGATCTTCGGAGAGTCCAGAACTGGGATCTCTGTCCTGCCGGGAGCAGCAGCAGAAAAACAAGGTTTGACACAAAGCTGATAGGCGTGTAGCAAAACAAAATAAAACACGAGGCTCCAAGGAACTCAACAGAAAAGGAATCCCAGAGGATATTACCACAAATAGTAGGTTAACTATTTCTTGGTTACAATCCCATTACTCCCAGAAGGCTTGAATCCAGCGTGAGATCAGGCTTTTGAAGGAGTGCAGGAGAGTTCATCAAACCCGTACTATCTTCAGCGTCAAGTTCACCATGAACAAAGGTATGAGTTCACCAGGAACTGGTATGAGAAAGAACAGACACGGTGAGCTAAGCGTGAGCGACTGCAGAGGGGAAGAGGCAAGGCGGCTGTGAGAAAGCAGAGCCATGCCTCACACATGCGAGGTGCTGCGCAGGAATTGGCCCCGCGCCCCTCAGCCGCATATTTGCTGGCTGATACAATTCCCTCGGATTTCCAAGAGACGTTTCATGAAGCTCCTCTGCCAAAAGGTCTTTAAAGAAACCCGTCTGACATGGGACAAACGGGAGCCAACACATGGATGCAGGGGAGGGAGCCAGGAGCAACTGCTAAGTTTTCCATGTGGAGATTGTTCATCAGGAGAACTCTCCAGAAATCTGCTCCATTCCCCAACAGCCTCATCTTCTACCTCCCAGGTCATTAATTCGATGATACAGAATTACTGAATGCAACTTCAAAGTTCGGTGTTACAATAAACGTGAGTGAGAAGGGTCCCGCAAAGCTGCAGGGGCAGACACAGGCAGGCAGGAAGCCCACAGGGACACCCAGGGACTCCGGTGGGAGCAGCCCAGCAGCTCCACGCAGCCTGGCTCCATCCTGAGCCAGAGAACACTGGTTAGCAGAGAAACGCCGATGAAAGCATCACAGAGGACAGGCAGGAGTGGGAAGTGTCCCCAAATAAATGTGTACCTCTGGGAAAGGGCAGAAAAGAACAGGAAGCTCCTCACCACAGTGACTAATACACAAAAATTACCCACCAGAAAAAGCTCTGTTCATGTGAGCCCAACTTCCAACCACAGGTTCTGAAACAGCCAAAACAAAACTCAGGACCGTTCTTTCCTCTTTATTCACAAACTGTTTAGTATGAGGAGAGGGCACCTGGGGAAAGGCAGAATTACATTTTCCTTCTTTTTCAAAAAGAAATTAAAACATTCTAAGAGCAGAGAAGGGGGACAGGGATGCAAGGAAGAAAGGACTTTCTGGTTTCATATGAAAAACACTCAAGTAGCATGAACACAACAGTGAAAAAAATCAAGATTTTAAAAAAAGTTTAACTGGAACCCTCTTGACTTTATATATATATATAAAAAAAATCTGCTGCTGCTTTCATTCTTCTGCTCTTTCAATTACTTTTCCACTTCTATTCTGAAGGCATTTGCTCTGTTTTTCCCCATTTCTTCCATTCTTCTGGTGCTAGTGTGTCCTGGAAAGGGAAACCAAAACAATTAGCTCTCCCAGGCAACAAAGCACTTCTTCACATAGTACAAGTGCCCCCAGGCCCCTTTTTCTCTCTCAAAGGAAGCTTCTCTGAGAGGAGGGTGATAAAACCAGCACTACAACATAACCAAGGAATCAGTACAAGCAGTATGGAAACGTTCAGGCAAAATGAAGGTCTGGTGCAAAAGGAACAAATGAGCCTTGAAAAACACAAAACTGGACAAAAAAGCAGGGCTGAATGCAAAGTAGCCTGCAGCCGCTCTACCACTCCTCCACTTTCAACAGGACCATTATATCCAATTGCAACCAGCTGGTAAACACAAAGGAAAGATCTTCAACAACGTGGGCACAGTAAGTCCACCTTTTTAGCATCCTTCTCCCTTTCAAGGAGACAGATACAGGCGTAGCTGGGTGCACCTGACAGTCCAACCCCAGATGCTGGTAGCAATACAGTCTTAGCAGACATATCTGGGGCACCAGAAACCCAGCAGTGAGGAAAAGCGCTGTGGCTGCACATGGCAGCAATTACGGTTTGTGGATGAGTTATTTCCAAGATCTTCCACGATTACTCATAGCCCACAGGGAATTAAGGAGTTAAAATACCCAGCTGAGAAGCAGAAAATTTGCAAGCTGTGGAGAACACACTTCCTAAGTATTTGGCAACAGGCCACTAAAGCTGAAAAACACTGGCTCCGAGCTGTGGTAAAAAGAGAAGCATCCAGCAACCAGAACACAGTGACAAGTGACATGCACCTCCAGTAACCTGTCAGAGACTGTTTGCTGCTATTATGCCTCTAAATACTCCAGGGAGAGCAGAGGTGGTGCCAGGCTGTTTCTCCTATGGGATACAATGCTCATAGTCCATTGGTAATTCTCCTGAAGCCATCCTCCATGCTATCTGATGTGCAAACAGGAGCTTATAGCACAGTGCACACGGTTTCTGAGATGCAGCCACCCACACTGTTTTGCCCTGCACCACAAAACAGAGCTCTGTCCAATGTCTGTGTGAATACCTGGAGTGCTGGCTATGAACACGAGACTGGGTGCACCAGCACATTCTGCAGTAGTTCTGTCCCCTGGACTTGTCCCACATTCTCTCTCCCTTCCCCTTCATGAAATAATGTGTGAATAAGAAACGAAGCCACACACACAAAATGGGCAACATGCAGAGCGGCAGCAGATCTGCCTCCCATCACACTGTGGATGTAACAAACCGGGACCTTACCTGGTCAGAGTCAAAGGAAATGAAGGGCTTTACATTAGCACGGGCTAATGGAGATCCTATCACATGCTTGTATTCATTCATGGGGAGCTGGCTGCTGCTGCCACTGACTGAGCCATCGTGACCAGTTCAGTCTAATTGAAGGGTGAATCCTGGATCATGTCCTCAGCTGAATGAGACTGTGCTGACCTGGCTTCTGTAGCATACAGAGCACTTGCCACCCGAGCAAGGACTTAATTGAGCTCCACCAGCAGTGACAGTGCCAGCAGCTGAACAGCCAGGACACTGCAGGTGGGGTAGGAGTACCCACAGCAGGACAGGAAGGCTCAGATGCGAGCCGCCTTCGTTATGTTCTCCTCTAGCCAGCACTGCTAATTATTTACAGGAACAATATTGCTTGAACTATGTTTATTCCTACACCCACCCAGCATATTAACATGCACATATCACCACAAGACGAGATTATTAAGGAATCACATGAAGACCATTTAGTCTTCAGGGACACACACTGCTAGTATGCAAACCCAGCTGTAGCCAAGGTCACCCAAAGACTGATTTAAAGCCAAATAAACAACGCTGAAAGGAGGCAGCTTCAGCTCAGGTACCTTTTTGTGCAAGAAATGAGGAATGAAGTGAAATGAAGCAGACAGCCCACCCAAGAAAGTCAAATTCCAAAAAGACCCTTACTTCTAGAAGAGTTGGTCACTAGCAAAAGCCCTTTTTACCGCAGCGTTCTATACTTTGCCAACCTACTGCTCTGCTCTGCAGCGATCCTGCCAAAAGGAGAGAGGAAGAAAGGTTCAGAGAAGACAGGAAGGAGGAAAGCAGCTCTGCTCTGGGAACCAGAGCCCATGACAGAAATGCAAAGAGCAAAACCAGGCCTTCTGGTAACTTCTGAAAAAATATGGTTTATATACAGTTCCCCTCCAACCCCTACCTGCATTTTCCATAGTGGAACAGCAGCTTTGCCTCCAAGTGCTATTGAGTTAATTATCAGTGCACTTAACATCTGAGCCAGACCTGCCGCACATTAACAAAGTTGTCTTTTGGAGCTTTGAAGTCATGTACAAAGGGTTTAACTTTAGCCTAAGGTACAGGTTCTACTTTCAAATCTGCCACTGTGGTCACAGATTCATGTCATGTACAATGAAAAAGCAGAGACAGCCCCTGCAGTGTTTTGAAGTAGGAACCAGCCATCAGCATCTACTTGCTAACAGAAGCCCTGGTTGAGCTAAGACACTTAGAAGTAAACTTTGTTGTATTTTTTTCCCCCTTGCATCTGTGTGCTAAGA